AATACTCACGAGTTATATGTTCCTCGATTAGTTGTAGATGTGTCAAAGAATTGTCGATATTCCATGTTTGGATTTTGCGACACGTCCGAGAAAGCATATGCCGCATGTATCTACATACGATCGGTAAGCGAATCCAGCGGAAAAACAATGGTTAGATTATTATGCGCGAAAGCGAGGATAGTCCCTTTAAAGAAACAATCCATACCTAGGTTAGAACTATGTAGCGCGTTCTAACCTAGCGACGCGATACCGATATCCGAGCCGTCTTACGCACGTCTCTATCTTTGTAATCTATACCTTCTAAATAATCATTTAAGTTTGTATTAAACCGCCTTATGTCATACCGCAGGTAATTAGTCATCGCCGGCGCCGAGCGATGACTAACTAACGGCGAAGGACAATTGGGAAATTGTTAAGTTTGCAAATAAATGTTACTCATTGATTCTGATTCATATGCCATAAGGCAGTTTAATACAAACTTAAATGATTATTTAGAACGTACAGATTACAAAAGTAGAGACGTGATTGCATATGACGGCTCAGATATCGGTATCGCATTGCTAGGTTAGAACACAAGAAACTAAGAAAATCTACAATATAAGCATTTATCTGACGCAATTTCCTAATGACATGATGGTAACTGATGTTCGATCTCGCAGTGAACATAGGGTGATTATTAATCTTATCGAGCATTAACTTATAATCTATCTAGCTGAGGCTTACAAAAGGTCCGCACGCAGAACGCCATGACACCAGAGAGAGAGAGAGAGAGAGAGAGAGAGAGAGAGAGAGAGAGGGAAAGAGAGGAAAGCCGGGAAACCGGTATTGCAGCCGGGACCCAATAAAATGAAATTGTTTATTTTTATAAATAAATAAAAAATTAACCCTATTAATTAAAAATTTCTTTCGCTTTACTAAAAACTGATAATAGTCTTATATGCTAAAAATATTATAGATCGTTACATTTGTAGCAGACTCATATGCAAAGTATGTTTTTTTAGAAGAAAATACTACATTGCAAAATAAATTTTAGCAATTTGAAATTTATAAGTTATATTACTTGATTTATATTTTGTGTCTTTAATACAGTTTGATTTTATTTTATTCTATATATGCAACATAAGCTATGATCTAAAAATTAACTAACAAATTCTGTGTTTTCAAATACGTAATCTCAAATTCATAAAGAGGAAAAGAATTAAAAACTTACTTTCCTCGTTAAATATTGTACATAATTAACATAATGTACTCTATCAATTTCTACCCAGTCAGAAATGATAATGAAATCGATATCGAATCGATGTCGATTCGACGTCAATTCGATGTCGATTCCATTATCATTTCTGACTGGATATTTGATAGCATTTGTTTGAACATTTGTAGACTCAGACATTATAACAGTTCAAATACACTATTTGTAAAAGAGAAGTATTAAAAGAGATGTGTTAACGAATCAGTTGGATACATTATTGTAAATATACAGGTTATGAATTTAATTCTCTGACATATTTGAAAAATTCTCTACCATATTTACAATATTTTTTTTTGTTTTGGTTACCCAATGAGCAAAATATCTTAAATCAATGTTCTTTCTAAAGAATTCTTAAAAATATTTTTAAATTGTCTTAAGCCACAATGCTAGAAATCGGTCCAAGATCTTGGACAGAGGAAAAATTAACAAATCGCAATTAACAATTTGATCACATGATCATTGTAATTGGTCAATTCTTTCTTCATTCGAGGTCTCAAACCGATTTCTAGCATTGTGGAGGCTATATATGTTGGTTTTATATGTTGATTTTAGATACTTTGCTATTAAGTTGAATCTCAATGGAACATGTTTGACAGCTATGATGAGACGTTGCAAGGATTGTGCTATCCATACAGACAATTCCGATGATTACATCTATCAAAAGATCGACGAAGAATTGAATATTCTTTGTGAGTATCCTAGTCTGACTTCTTGGCTTACAGAATATCGTCTTTCCTTGCGACATAGTGCAGCCAATAGACGAGTCTGTTGGAGAATGGATTTAGTCTGTAGAATACCGTTACAAAAACCTTCATGCATTTTCACGGTGCATTTATTGCCTGGTTTCCACCGAGGGTTTAACCCGGATCAGAATGTAAGAGAATTACAGTCAGCAACCAATTACAGTCGAGCATTTCTTTGTCGTTCGACTGTAACAGGGGAATACTCGACTGTAATTGATTGGTTCTTACATTCTGATCGGTCGGAAAGGTGATGGCCACAGATTTTGGGATGCACGCATATAATCCATATCGATTACCTTTCGTCGAAGCAAACGATCAATGGTGATTACTACGCAGCCGTATTGGACCGTTTCAACATTTTAAAGAAAAAACGTCCCCATTTGGCGAAGAAGAAAGTGCTCTTCCATCAAGATAATGCATGGGTTCACATGTGCCCGGCACCGACATGGTCAAATTCAACGAATTCTATTACGAATTTCTTCCCTATCGAGTATATTCGCCAGATTTAACCCCCTGCGACTATTTCCTGTTTCCAAACCTGAAGAAATGGTTCGGAGGAAAGGACAGTTTGCAGCTCTGTATCGTTCGGAATTAATTCTTGACATTCGGATAGCTCGAAGATCACGTGATCAAGTTCACCATTTACTAGCTCGCATCTCAGATTTACATTGCCGAACGCATCTAACAGAGTCTGGACATTGCATTCGCGCGCATGTCCGTCCGCCATTAATAGTCAAAACCAGAAATATATCGTCGTGTTTGCTGAGAAATTCAAATGAATGCTTGCTGTTATACGACAATAGAATTGAATTCAAACTATTTAAATAATTTAAGATAAAACAGATAAAGTAGAATAGAATTGTACAAACGAGCAAAAATATGTTTAACAGCGTGTCAATATGTCTTGCATCTATATAATGATATATCTATATAATATATTAATTTATACTGCTGTTGCGGAATCTCTAAACATTTTATTAACAATTATCGCTATCGTTGACTAGTGATAGCCAATGAGAGCTGCGCTTTTTTCCAAGATTATCCTTCCATTGGCTGTCGCTAGAGAAGCGTAGATAACAGAGATGCGACATTACGTCAGTTAGGTTAAGTAGCCACCGCCATTTTAATTCAGTATAAGTGCTCCTAACCTTATAAGCTGATGACAGTAGGCTGTCAAGAATATCCATTTATTTGCCTCACATTAGTGATCCACATATTTCTTATCTCAGAATTTATTATAGGAAATAACGAAACAAAAGAAATGAATTTTCTTCTTTTTGGTGTTTTTATACATTTTTACAGTCAAATACACAGCACTTTTTGCACAAAAAAAGTGTTCTCTAAAGAGTCACAAAATCAATACAGCTTTCAAGAAAAGGTTAGATTAGATTAAGTTCGATACTAAATATTCACATAAATAAGAATACTTATACCGTAATAATAGTTTTTTATTGCACTTTGACACTTTGTATTGTCTTAATTTTTCTCTATAATCTACATGTATGTACATTACAAAGCTATATCTTAATGCATTAGATGCAATAGTGAATTAAAATGGCACTCTGATCACGTAATTCAGACAGCCAATTAGACTCTATCCTTCTGTATTGCATCCCTGTTATCTAGTCCTCTAGCTGTCGCTAGTTAACGATAGCATCAATTGACTATTAATGGCGGAACCAAACAGCAATCAGCATTATCTAGATTTTGTTATAAAAACTCTAATCGCATCTATCAGAAGATCGACGAAGAATTGAATATTCTTCGTGAGTATTCTAAGCCTGAAGATACGATTACATATAGCGCGTTACGAGTTACGAGGTACAAAAACTAACTAGATAATTATATTAATCGCGCAAATCTTCATTCTTTCTCCTCTATCAGGGTGGTGTCCACGTTACATCGTACCGATTATTCTCTCTCGTTTTGGACTGTGGTCAAAGTCTCACTATAATTACTTTGAAGTATTTGATGAACCAATTAAAAGAAAGAATTTACAAAGTATTTTACTGACCAGTTGAAAAACGCTTCAAAGTGTTTGCAGCATCGCATTGATCCCTTTGTTGCATTAGTGCAAATATGCGGCAGAAACGCACAGATATGCCCACCATTTTTAGGAGCCGATTGCCGGATTCTGTATTCTAGGGACACTAGTCACGCGATCAAAATTAATGTTTGATATTCGTCAATTTTAATCACATGCCCTGTTTTGACGTTTAAATCGAGCGTCGAACGTCAGCATAAAAAATGCAACCTAAAGGTGCGTTCACATACAAGCATCAAGCAGCGGAAGCAGCAACCAATCAACGAGGCGATAAGTACAGTAGCGTAAAAAATATTTTTTTACACCTGTCACGTCCGCAATAATTTTAATTTTGTTCAAGAATAATTTCTAATAAAATCACCGGCACAAGACACGAACGCGTCGAGCCGTTGTGGCGTTGCAAGCGTTAGTTGCGGCGCTCGAGTTAGTTCTTTTTCCCGGCTTTCTTCTCTCTCTCTCTCTCTCTCTCTCTCTCTCTCTCTCTCTGGTATCATGGCGTCCTGCGTGCGGATCTTTTGTGAGCCTCAGCTAGATAGATTATAAGTTAATGCTCGATAAGATTAATAATCACCCTATGTTCACTGCGAGATCGACATCAGTTACCATCATGTCATTAGGTAATTGCGTCAGATAAATGCTTATATTGTAGATTTTCTTAGTTTCTTGTGTTCTAACTTAGCAATGCGATACTGATATCTGAGCCGTCATACGCACGCAATCACGTCTCTACTTTTGTAATCTGTACGTTCTAAATAATCATTTAAGTTTGTATTAAACCGCCTTATGGCATATGAATCAGAATCAATGAGTAACATTTATTTGCAAACTTAACGATTTTCCAATTGTCCTTCGCCGTTAATTAGTCATCGCCGGCGCCTCAGACACGCTCGGCGTCACATTGAGCACAGCAGCTACGGAGCCACACCGTTTAGATTGCACTTGACATTTCTCCCATCACGAGCGAACTAGCAATACGATTATGAAAGGAGTTTTCGGAACGCCCACGGGGCAAAAGCTAGGTGGCAGAGCAGAGAAGTAGCCCGCGTCGTATAAAGTGGACGCGTAGAAATCTCCTTCCACTCCAACTTACTAAAAATACCATGTGCGAACGTAATGCTAAGCTGAACGCGACATGCTCGCAATTTCAATTTCTAGGAATTTCTCGATCTTAACTCAAAACGTCAATCCATTTTCTAAATCATAAGTCCTATAAAAGATAATCTCTATGTTAACTTAGAAATAAAGCTGTCCTAGTGTAAAATTAGTTATTAAAAGTTTAATTAGTATAAGAATCATTATTAAATATACATTCAATTAATCTTATTAAAGCGTGTATTCGATGGACATCTCTATACTCTTAATTAATTCACTCTAATGCTAATAATAATATGATCACTATCGAACAAAAGGTGATTATTAATAAAAGGTGATCGCGCGCATCCTTTAATGTGACTCAAATTGGCAGCCAAATTTCTTTCCAAGGAGCAGTAGAAGCCTAGACGTATACCTCCGCTAGTATTTGGGAACATCGCAGAGTATCTATTCGAGGTATCTCAAGGTAATGAAATCTCTATACCTCGCTAATCGCATACATGAATCATGTGTCCTATCCTCCCGCGTTCGCGCACCTCTATCGATGCTCGATTTTTATTTGTTGATCCGTACACGTCGCGTGGGTACGTAGCGGCCGTTGTGCAACACTTTGTTCCACCAACATAAAGAAAGCGGAATAATTAAATGCATCGAAAGTTACACCGCGTTATTGCTTTCTGGAAAGGAAAATTATTATAGAGCTTTGCGTCATTACATTCATTTGGGTTACCCCGAACGACTCGAGATCTGTAATTGCATGCTACCTGATATTAATTACGCTTCACGCGGTTACAACTTGCTCCGAGTGCTCCAGAATATTAGAAAGATTCCTCGTATTCTTATGAGCGACGGAAGAGCAACCGTAGAACGACTCCGAATCCACTATGGTCGTCATATCCAGCGTTCGCGTCTGGCCAATCAGTAAAGTGGACAACTCCGGTCGCTTTCTCCTTTAGTGTGCGAAATCGTTAGTTCCGTATCTCACCTATAGTCTCAGGTTACATCTCAGGGTTCGATCGGCGGGCGGCCGAACAGATCTAGGATTATCGGTGGGTGCAAGGCGTACGGTTTTGCGTCGGTGGGAATGCAGAATTAAAATTTGTCCAATTTTGAAGGTTTACTAGATTTGCGCGCTCGATACAGAAACGATAGTCAATTCCACGGAGGTCCAAGGTGTACCTCCCGTCCTGCCCAGAACTAAGAAACTCCCCCAAAATTTCAGGGCAATCGCGACAACTCGTGAAATTACATACGATGATCAGCGACACGGAACATTCGTTACAGATCTCGAATCGTTCGGGAAACCCTAAATGAATATAATGTCGCAATACCCTGAGATAATTCTCCTTCTCATCGACAGATAAAGAAGTGTAGCACTTTGGACATTTAGTCTCGCTATTTTCTACATGGCGAAAGAATAATGAAGATACGCAACATGCGCTACGTATCCACGTGGTGTAAGAGTTGGTTTCCAACGGACGGATGCCGGTAGGTGGGCGCGAACGCGGATGCACTTACTGATACATGCTACGCGTAAGCAGGATTCATGGCCCGCGGTGACCGAAATGTGATGAAGTAAAGATATCCTACCTTTACGATGAGGCCTTCATCAATGGTTGCAGCACGGGGGTTGATCGGTGCGTGATCCTTAGACTTTCTACTGTTACGTCCTGAGGTCCGACCGGCGGTAATCAATACCTGGACAAACCTAGGACTAATAGTGGATGCAAACTGTACTTACCATACGATGATTGTTTGCGGATCTTTTCAGCGGCTCCGCGGTGTTACGATCCGTGGTACGCTACGTGCGGGCTGGTTGGGATCTTGGTTGGTCGAGTCCGTCGTGGGTGAGAGGGATTGGTCCAATGCTGGCTGCCGTTCACTCGCGCGTCCACTTGGTGAGTTTAAGTGAGGAGCAATTTCATGTGATGTATGCCGATTACGTAGGGAAGGTTTCGTTGAGAAAAAGGTCACACTCGCGTATTTATCTTTGCTCAGAAAACAACTTATATATTTTACTGTTATTAAGTTGCACTAAATACATGACTAAATTTATACTGCGGTTAGTATCTAACGTGATTAAAATTGACAAGGTCGAATAGAGTTTTACTTATATAATTAGATGAAGTTGCTTATACGAATAGAAATGGAAGATTGGATATAGATTCAAGTTCGAATTAGGAATTTGAGTTAGAGATGGTGTCGGTCCGAACTTTTGTCACGAGAGAGTAAAAAAAGGGAACTCAGTTGAGGACTTAATCTTAACTTAACTACTACTCGGTTATCCCGAGGGCTTTTCCGAAGGATCCCCTCCCACGCTGGTGGGGCGCTAGTGGTGGGGAAGGCGTCAGGAGCGATCTAGGCGGTTTTTGTGCCCTGTCGGTTTATTAAGATAAAGAAAGTTGTGATTCGCCTGGGGATATTTCTGGACAAGTTTTATATGTACCGTGGACGTGACACAACTGTACAGGTTTTCCACTTGTGTTCTCATTTGGCACTAGAGCGGTGGGAGAGGGGTGTCGAGCTTCTGGCGTAGAAAGGTTTTGGGGGGGGCACTTCGTTGTAGTGAGAGGGGGAGTTTCCCGCTCCCGTTGATTCTTGCTGACGTCCTTTCCAGGAGGCTCGGCTAAATGAAGTAATAGATGTGTGATGGAACTCCAGATGGCTCCGAGTAGATGGAGGCTCCACCCGTACGCCGAGTGAAGCGCATATCCGTGGATTATTGTGTCGATAATTAATTGTACAAGTTTAATTATTAGGAAAATTGCCATTACGCCTGCGCTTGCTGAGCCAAAGGTGATGAAGCCCTGCCATAGGCGTGCTCCCGCGCTTTCAGCGATCTTCTCGAGAGATTTTTCATCGAAGAGATTCATCATCGCTATACTTCCTGAGGGGATGCTTTGCCCCATTGCTCCGCGCGCTAGAATGTTTAGCATTTGTGGTTTTTCTACGGGAAACATTATATGATTGCGCAAGCGATCCAGGTCTTCGTTAGAATAAATTCCGCTGGTGGCGAGTGCCGATGGGCTGACGTATTTCCAGGCGGGTCGTGTCAGCGGCTGGATGGTAGGTGGGGATAGAGACTCCACGGGGCGCGGCATCAAGCGGAACCAAGTCCCGTATATTTTGTACATTGCCGGCAGAACCTCACTGCAGTCCCTTGGTGTCCCGGCATGTGTTATTATTCTAGATCCGGGTAATAGGAAAACGGATCTATTATCATGGGTCACTGGTAGCTCCGTGAAACAGCTTTCCACGTGACGAATCCTGCACTCCACGGGTATACACTTGATTATATGTATGGCTTCCCCGGCCGTTACAGCGGTGTATCCGGGGGCCCTCATGATCCGATAGGCCATCTCGTCCGGTGCGATGCTGGATAATGTAAGTGCATTCTGGAGGATTTGTCTTTCCAGAGCGCACTTTTGCTCCAGAATGTCTCGATAGAGATACGTTAATTGAGTTTTAATGTGTTTTTCCACATATATAAATTTAGAATTTACATATGCGAAGATGTCCAAATTGTCTACGGAGATCCTTGATCGCACTCTGAACGTCTGGTCGCGCTGCGTCTCCAAAATAAAAAGCTTAGGATGCTCTGTTTGGCTTAAGGTATAGCCGCAAAGACTAATTTCAGTTGTTTTGGTGAGCGCGAAAGTAGTTTCTTTCGTTGTGACCGTATAGACTGTAGGCGCGGTTTGATTAGTTCTGGGGGTCAATTTACTGGCTTTTCCTTCGTATAGAACGTCGTAATGGCTAAAATGGCAGTTGTCAGGAGGGACGGTAGACCAAAATGTTTCTCCTCCGTCCATATCCAGGCAGGTTCCGGTCGCAACTTTGCAATGCAATCCGGAGGGCAGGACAATCTCGTCCGAGCTGCGGCGTATAGAGGCTTCAAAATCTCTAAGAGTGATTTTGACTGTCGCCTGTACAACCACGCTATCCCATGTTCCGTATGGATCGCTATATTGAGTCCCTGAGCAACGGCCATCCGCGGCAGCATGTCCAGCGAGCGTGATGCTCCTGGAGGAGGTGCTATTTGATTTGAGTCCCACGATATATCCCTCTTTACCTCCCAGGTCCATGGATCTGGTTTCGTGTATCCGTTTACAATTGTCGGCTGTCATCTCATGGAGATAGGCTCTTCTTCCGCCGTGGACTATAGATACGTGGGAGTGCATGCCGCAATAAAATATTGTGCGGTCTACCTCGACCTTGCATTGAATTACCCGCGTTTTATCGAAATCAGAGAGTTGTAATAGTTGGACGTAGACGCCTGTTGCGATTGGTTCGATGTCCTCGACTTCGCAGTTCCCGATGTCCAAGAGGGAGAGCGTCGGAATATTG